TTCTGTAAAAACATAGGAGAAGGAAATAAAGCTATTTACATCTATTGTGCTTGAACATTCATAGTATATCTGTAGAATGGTATGTAAAGAACTTGGTCACATTGGTTGCCTTAAGGAAGAGAACTGAGGAGTAGGGGTCAGAGAGAGCACTTTCTTCTATATTTTGAATGTATAATTGATTCATATAAATAAATTAATAAAAAATTTAAAGTAAAAGAAATGTCCATTGGTAGTATTAGCAAAGGAATAAGTCCCCTAAATTATTTTCTGGGAAGCTAAATATATTAATCATCTTAAAAAAGCATTCCCTTACATTAAATTTATAAACATGCAAAAACCAAAAATGAAGAAATAAAAGCATCTATAATTCCGAAATGAATTTTTAACATTCCATAAATCATGTAAATTTGTGCAAACTTTTACTTATACAGTAGTAGATGGACATTCAAATTTTTCTCTAAATAATTACAATTATACTATTTTATATTAATCAAAAGAGATAGAAATAAAAACAATAGTATTTGACACATTTTCCTTATGCTTCTTGGTGAGATCTAATTTTAGCATGAGCCTGTTAACATATGTCACTAATAAATAAATAAAGCTGTTAAAATTAGCTTTCATATCATAGTTTCAAAGATGATTAACATAATCTTAGTTATAAAAAGACTCCATTAATAATACAAATAACCATTTAATTATAATAATGCAAATATTATTATATGGAAAAGTAGGTAAATAAAGCTTCTTAAAGCAAATTCCTAAGTATTACACAGTCTTGTATAAGATAAACCTTATTGCAATAAGCATGGAAAAAAAATCACTAACTACATTCACAAAGTTTTGAACTTCAAATGAAAACTGTGTAGGTTCCAAAACTCTATAATTCTGTAAATGTTATGATTATACAGAAAATAATCAAGAAAAAGAAAAATTAAGAGTTCCAAATGGATAGAGACAAATAGGGAAATGTTATATTCACATAGTTAGAAGGAAAGTATATAATAAATTCAGAGTTCTAACTGTAGCAAAATCTTTAATGTTCATGTGCTACTGAAATATTAACAATGAATAGATCATTACCATTAATTTAATAAATATCTAAAACATCAATAAAAAGCTATGAAATATTTCTGAAAATTTCTATTTAATATTGTCAATAGGAATGTCATTTAAATGTGTACATATGTGTGTATTTACATAAGTAAAAACATGTATACATTCATATAAATACATAACTTATTAACATATGGATTCTATTGACCAAAGAATACAGTAAATAAAATGAGAAATGGTATTCTGACTGTATCTGAATATTGGTTGTTTGTACCATAATATACTCATTATACAAAAATTAATTTCTTACAATCATGATCTTTTGAGAAATATTAACATTTCTATGTACTTTGAAAATGGAAAAATTTCACAATGTATAAGCTAGAAATGAAAAAATGTAAACATCTTTAGACAAAATATTTGTTTCATTTAAAATTATAAAAATAAAATACAGGTTGTACATAAAGTTTGTGTGCAATGTTAAAATAGTAAACTGTGTAAATTATATGCTCAAAGAAAAATTCTAATTAATGATTCAGTGATCCTTCTAGTACTATATTTTAAAAAAATGGTTTAGGTTTTATGTTAAATATTAGATTAAGAAAATGCTTTAAGAGTTAATCATTTATTTTTCTTAGTAGTGGCTTCAATTTCAAATCATTAACTTTTACCATTAGCATATCTTGAGAAACTGACTTGGGTCTTGGGGTGACCTTTTCTTTGTGGCAATTTTAAATGAAAATATTTCTGTATAGATTCAGGTCAAATGTAAAAGACAGTCAAGGCAATTATTCTGAGAACTGGAGCAGGAAACTTTGCTAGCTGGGAACTCAGTACAAGTGTTTTGTTTTGTGCCACACGCAAGTACACAAACTTACCCAGTTTCACATCAACTATACATTAACTATACATTCCCCTCACTTGTAACTTTTTAAGGTACTAAAAAGCTATTTCCAGGCAGGAATTCTGGCCACAATGTAGGCTACTCCTATATAGGCAGTTGTATCAACAACTTATATGTTGAACATTAAAACATAGCCAGAAAAACTGAAAGTATATGACAAAACCTGGATCAATATTTGGAAAGAAACAACATGAACCTTGATCAGGTTATTAAAGACTGTGCTCTGATGTAATCAATCATCTATATAGCTCTACAATAAATGAAACAGATATATGAACTCAAGCAAATTCCATTTAATGACATGATACCTACTTAAAAAAAAATCCTGATTCCTAGGAGTCAAAATAATCAAAAATTTAAGGTTTGGGAAGAGGTGGATGTTAGAAAATTTTAAATTAGTTTCACAGCACTTACACTTTGTTAATCTTACTATAGTAACAGATGTGAGATTATAAACTGAAAATCACAACCTCACTGTGACTCAAGCAGATGAGTATATTAGGCAAGATTGAGGGGGTTCTAAATCACATATACTTTTTGGTAATAAATGCAAGATAATAAATTGTATTATAGCTGAGGTATATTTAGATAGGTACTTGACTATCAATATGGGCTCTGGTGAGGGCACTTTGTGATTTTTACACATATAAGTTATTTTTTAACTTTTATACTCCTTTTGTTAAAAAAAGAAAATTTCCTTGTAAAAAAACAAAAGAAACTTTAGACAATTTTTATCTTTAACCAAACCACCTCACATCTAAATATTTTAAAGTATAAAATTAGTATGTGAAGTTGATATTATGAATTACTGCTTTTAAATAGTTTTCAACTATTCCCAGTTGTTATAATTCAGTTATATGTTTATTTTACCAATTAATAAAATAAAAATCATACATCAAATCTATAAAATGGATAGCTTAAAAAGTAATGCCACCTTTCATACCTATACATGAATAGAAAACCAGAATGTATCTCTCACCAAGAAAGAAAAAAAAAAAACCCACGAAACTATAAATTACACCCTACTAATGTTTGCAACTGCATTTATATGAGCTGGAATAAACAATTTGGTTAATTTAGTGAAAAAACTAGTAACTCTAGTAAACTCAAATCCAGCTATTGAGAAGGTTTTCAGGTAGCAGAGATCAGCGTGAAGGCATGAAGGAATGCCTGAAGAAGGTGAGGTAGAAAAGGGATGGGGTTTGGAGGATGGCTTGTTAGCATGAAGACAGAGACAGGAAATGAAAGTGGGAAAGGACTATATGCCCTACTTTTCTGTTTGCCTAAGTCCTTGATAAGTGGCAAGTACTTTCCTTTAACTGAAAATGACTCTCTAGGTAGCCTTTCTTATAAGTGATATAAAGCACGGATACCTTTTTCTACCTCTTTTCCTTTTATGGTAAAGATAATGTTATTTTTACATATACAGTATTTTATAATTCTTTTGTAAATGTTATGATTTTAAAGCTAAGAGGAACATTAGGAAATAATTTAGTGTAACCCCTTATTTTATTGACAGGTGAACTGAGATACAGAGAAGCTATGATATGCTAGTGACAACTCCCTTGAGTTTCTGATCTATATAAATATACTTGGTGTGACTTAAAGGTTTGGAAGTACTATATATAGTATTATTAAAAGCAAGAGACAAATACACATAGGAAATGCTTCATAATCACAAAGAAAAAATTACCAAATGGAATATTCCACTCAGAACAACTAGGCATCTGTTCTGATATTAGTAATAAATAGTGAACTATAAATAAAAAGTTTAAAAAAATGCATTAGGGAAAAGGCACTGGATGATGAAAGTATGAGTGCATGTAACTACTGCAAAGACACAAACTATATACAATGTACTTACCAAGTACACAGAATATCCTAGAGAAAATCCATAAAATGAGAAATATAAAACCTCTCATATTATTATTTTCTCCCAAATTTATGTCTATCTCTATGTCATTACAAGAACAAACTATATAATAAGGTGATGAAAGAGGGGTACATCCACTTAATTCAAAGCCTACTCTTTTATATGAAATATATAGAAAATCCATTCCATTGCTGCTTTGACTATATGGTTCTAAATGACCATTCTCTCTTATATGCTTGGCTGAGATGAAAATGGGAAATTCAGGTACAGAGTTAAATAATATCAAATTCTGCACAACTTTTCTATGATTAATTGTACAACATCATTTCAACACATTAAAATACAGTGTGCCAAAATTAATACACTTATTAAATTTTAAAAACCTAAAAATTCAAATATGTAAGTATATTTCTAAGATACTCTGTGCTCATCACTAGGGTTAGAGCTAGTGTAAATATTTTCATTATCATTATGGTCAGAGCTAATGCAAATATTTTTCCTCTGCACCACCTATACTATTGTTATCCAAAGTATCTCCCTGGTAGATGCAATATCATTTTATATATGGCTCATAGGTGAATGTATTTTAATATTTCAGCAATGATTTTGATATGTACTAGCAAAAATTACACATGGTGTTCTCTTGTAAAAGTGTGTCAATTAAAAAATATAAATGGTATGTGAATATGCCAAAATTAACTATCTAAAGTTTGAGAAAGGCTATCTTACACAACATAACTTCTCTGGGGATGAACTAGCATAAATATTACTGTTGGAGGATGTGGAAATTTTAGATTAAATTATTTTATTCTCTGTATTACTGCCTGGCTCTTATCTCATGAAGGAAGTGTAATATAAAAGTAAGTTCTTTCAGTGGAAATGTATTTTACTGAATATAAAGAAAGAACGCTTACTAAAATCAGCAGCTTGATAAGTAAAAACCACCTCTCTAACTTCTCACTAAAAATAACAACTTTCTAATTAACTTAATCAGAAGGCATATATATGTATCTGTTTCATTATGCACAATACTACATGCGCTACATTCTGCAACTAACCAAACTACAGCAGCTTAGCACACACTTGCCCCACTCTGGTCTGTGAGGGAAATGCTCAGTAGAGGCTACCAAGAAGCTAAATTAAAGAAATAAAAACTTAAATACTTACTGTTGCTGGGGAGGCCCGAGTTGTGTGTGTCACTGAGTGACCAGAATTCTCCATTGAATTGCCAATGAGATAGGTTCCTCCGGAGCTGCTGATCAGCTGTCCTCCTGTGACGCCCATCTGAATCCCACCAGTACCCACCATGCTGTGGGACGAGACCACAGTAGTCACCTGTGCAGAACTCCCTTGAGTATCAAAGTAATTCCCTCCAGTGTTTTGGCTGTACATCTGTGTTTCTGTGTAAGGATAAGTTGTTGTTCGGCTTTAGAAAAAAAAAAAGAAAAGAAGAAATTTACTAACTAGTTTATTTATATCATCTTGTTACATTTTTTCTAATGTGAATATATTTAAAATATATTGGTTAGCTTAGCCTTTGGAACATGGTGAGTTTTGCATTTTGTATGAAACTTCATTCCCAGAAAGAAGAGTTGGATTTATTTTCCAAATTAAAGGTACATTCCTTTAATAAGTAACTCAACTAGCTCTGTACATTAAGAGCTTTTGCCCTCTATTGGCGCCTACCTGCAGTATATATAAATAAGCTTAGGTCCCTTCCCTCCAATAAATCTTGCTGAGCAACTCCTTCAACTGCTTATAACACTTCCTATAAATCCCTTTTAGAAAAGCCGGCATCAGAAATGACTAGGATCTAATGAGCCAACTACTCACACTACTTCACATTCCTGGGTGGCTCACAGGAAACCTCCACCATAAGGTAGCTTGTATGGATCTCTTACCACCATAAGAAACTTAAGCAGTTTACTCACCTTGGGTCCTAAATCCCTACTGAGTATCTCTACCCTTCTTCACACTCAAGCTTCTCTTTTATGAGATGACAGTGCCTCATGTCCTCACCTTCCACTTCCCAACTACTGCGGTCAAGCTTCTCCCCTTAGCCTTTTATTGAAACTACTTTTAATAGGTCACTTGTGAGCAAATCTAAATACCAGGGTAAAAGGCTCCTGTCATTCCTTATCTTTTCTGACCTATCTGTGGTATGACATTGTTGACTGCTCTATGTTGCCCTTTCCCTTTTTCTGTTCTGATTAAGCTTATTTATTTTTCATTTTCAATCGATAGTCTTAATTTTTAGTTTAAAATGCTTCAAAAGCATTTAACACAAGAAGTTAGAAAAATACACAGACAGAATATGCTTTGTTTTAAAAAGTCAAATACCAAATTTAAATTCCTAGTTATTTTGCTCTTCTTTTCAACTCTACTTCCCAGGGCTAGCCATTTCTGAGTCTGGTGTGCATGCATTAAGGTCTGTTCATGTCTGAGGTCTTGTCCCTTAGTTTAGTCTATGGAATTTCTTTTCCACTGTTTGCTTTTTTACCATAACATCTCAAGAACCTTTTGGGAGTCTCCATTTTTCATTTTCTTTCTTTTTTTTCTTCAGTTCTTGGCCAGGGCTGGGTTTGAACCCACCACCTCTGGCATATGGGGCCGGCACCCTACTCCTTTGAGCCACAGACACTGCCCTCCATTTTTCTTGCAATGTAAATACTGGGATTTTTCTGAGATTTTCATTTTTAGTTCTTATTTTTATTTAGACCACAGACCTCTACCACATACAGTACTATATGACCATATACCTGCTCTTAGTAAATAATCTTATACACATTGGTACCACTGCTCTTTACTTTCTAGTTATACTTTAAGAATATAAAATGTAGGTTTCTACCAGCTAACTGACCATCTCTACTAGGAAATCCCATGATATATGAGAAGCTTTAAATGTAAAATTATGTAAGATATAATAAGATTCATTCTTTCCCTTGTTCTTTCTACCATATTCCCCCTCTCAGTTGAGGGCAGCACCACTATCCTCAGGTTTGGAAATCACTGCTGACTTTCCCCTCACTTAGTGACAAGAATCACCAATTCCTGTCAATTCCATTTTCTAAATAATTTTCCAGTTCTTTTCATTCTCATACACCCTACATTAACTCATAGTGCTCTCTATTACACAGGTTGAGGATCCTTTATCCAAAATGCCTGGGAACAGAGGTGTTTCAGATATTTGAATTTTTTGGATTTGAAACATTTGTATATCGGTCATGAGATATCATATGGATAAAACTCAAGTCTGAATAGGAAATTCATTTATGTTTCATATACAGCTTTTATACATTGCCTGAATGTAATTTTAAACAATATTTTTAATAATTTTCCGCACCAAGCAAAGTTTGTATACACTGCATTGTCAGAGTGCAAAGGTGTCACTACCTCATGTTGATGCCAAAAAAGTTTCAAATTTTGTAGAGTTGTAGATTTTGGATTTTCAGATCAGGAATTATCAACCTGCCATTGCCTTCTAATCAATCTTCCTTCTTAACCTATTTCCAGCTTTGCTTCCAGGAGAATATTTTAAAATGGAAATATGAAAACAATACTTTGCTTAAAATTCTTCCCATGATTCTTTCTAATCTTTACACAAGTTCAATACCCTTGACCACCATATGAAAACTGTCAGGGGCTGGTGGCCACACAATCTCCATACATGTTGCTCTCTATGTTCTCAGGTGCTTTCCTCACTCACACCATATTGACCATTTTGCTGTCCACCCCCACAATGCCATTTTCTCTCACCTCTCCACTGTGCTACTTAAGTTTTTCTCTGGGTGAAAGACCTTTACACTTTTATTCCACTCCATTTCTTGGTTCTAATCATCCTTAAACTCTCAGTACAAGCTCTGTTTCCCTCCATGGTTGCCTTTCACAGGGTTGCTATGTTTTATCCTCTGTACTTTTCTTACCATGCTTTAAATTCCTAAAACACAGCTCTTAATTTACTTATTGTCCTGGTGTCTTCATGCTCCCATGGAATTATGTTTTACTCCCATCAGAGCTCTCAACACCTAACATGTTGCTGGTACATGGTAAGCACACTAAATAGTCAGCAAATAAAAATTTTTAAAAATATATTGGACATAAAAGCCAGATTCATAAATTTCTGTATAATAAATCCTTGTTTTGTTAAATTATAAGAAACTATGCTAAACCATACCAAAGTTTCTCTGTTTGTCTTAAAACAGGTAGTATTAAACCATTATGAATTATGCTTATAATGGAATTTATAATAAACTTTTCATAAAATAATGACAGCATTCTGAAAGTATTCCATACTAAGTAAAAGCCCTTCCCAGAAGGGACTATATCAAATAGATGTATAAATTTTAGTTTGTGGTGATAACGGAAAAAATCTCCATATAGATAAAATAAATAATTTTTCCCATAATTGCTTTATTTCCCAACTGGAAATCCCATTTATTTATTTATTTATTTTTGGCTTACATATTTATTTAATAAAATGAAACAGCTATGTTGATGTCAAATGATAAAAAGAGAAATGAGGTCATTTTAATTTATGTCCTCTCTGAATATGACAGTGGCTCCATTTAGCTGAGCTTAAAATAACACAATCTGATGTTGGTATTTAAGGATAGTCAAATAAGTTGTACAAACAGATATAGGACAATAAATACTTTGGCAGATGCAGGACATGGTGCCCTCTTTTTTCCCACAGTCCAAGAAAGATGATTACGTTTCCCCCCATTAGTAAATAGATTCACAAACAACACATACAAATGTAGCATTTACTCTGCAATAAGCACTATTCATGTGCTTTTCAGGTATTAACTAATTTAATCTTCATCACAACTTTATGAGGTAGGTCCAGTTATAATTCCTATTTTATACTCATATTGAATAACTAATTTAAAAAGGTTAAGTAACTTTGTATAAAGCACACAGCTGAAAATCATGGATCCAAATCCATGATTGATCTGAACTTAGCTTATGCTGTACTTTTCATGTATGCCCATGATATATGTCAACAACTACTAAGACACAGCTCTAGCAGGGACCATATGAACTTCCTGTTGCTATTTGGGATTTCCTTTATCACTCACTGTTTACTAACACCGAAATATTTTCCACTCTTATCCAGGATGGGATCTTCAGATGATGTAATTGTAAAGAAGGAGCAATAGAAAAGGTGGGACCATTTCAGAGGATACTTAGTAACTATGCTTAAATTTTATACCTTCTATGATATGGAAGTTGCTATTGCATCATAAGAAAAATACCCCAAAAGATTTAAATCACCTCATCTTTTGTGCATTCTCTTTTTATGTAATTATTCTCAGTGAACAAGAGTAATATAAACAAACACTACTCTTTTATATACCACAGATATATAAAATCTATATATAGCCCTCAACTCAGTATAAAAATACAGCAACAAAAATCAAGCTATGTTAATTTTCATGCGTCCTTCTAGCTTGAGATAACTCATAAGCTAGAAAAGGACCAAAGGGCAGGACAAAGGAGAAAGAGACAGAAGAGTATGCCCAATCCATGCATTTTCCCCATTACTCAATCACGCTCTATGAGACTGTGAATAAGGCTTGGCATAAACACACATACACAAAACCCCATTTTACACTGGGGTAAAGACTGGCAATTTCTAGGAGGTGAAAAAGACACAATTACATGAGGAAATAAAGTATCATGAACTATCTGAATTTGGCTTTAACAAAAATACACTTGCTGTGGAAAATGGAGAAGTCTTTTAAACACTAAGTTGAATAGAAGAGGCAGATTAGAATGTACTCAGCCATTGTTCTTTAAAGCTAAGAAGGCAAGCATAATCCATTTGTTAGAGTCCGTGGAGCCAGAGCCAGAGCTCGAGTCATGCAAAGACTCCTAAAGGTCTTTTCCAGATTTGTATACTTTGAGCTCCTGAAAAAATACTAAAGAATTTATTTTAAAAAGAAGCAAAGATAACAGTTATTTTTTAGGTACTAGAAATAGATTCTCTAATTCTGATGTCTCAGATCTGCTTGTCTTTTACATTGTATACTAAATACGTTCTTCATATGAGTTATTACTTGCACACTATTTTCCCCAGAAATTTCTAAAACATATGCTCAAGAAAATTATTCAATTTTTGGCATATCAGATTGAAAATGGTTATTTCTGGCCTGCATATTCCTGAAATAGCTAAATTCCCAAGCAATTCTGTACATATTTAAAAGATACTGCTATGTTCATTTTGTTTGTTCTATTTTGATTACCATCTACTATGTCATGAAAATAATGTGTGATATTATTTCTACAGCAGAAATCTTTCCATTGTTCTGCACATGTAATCAATGTGAACACACAGATATGTGTCTACTTGCTGACAGAAGCTTCCTCATAGCTGACTCTATTATAAGGTTCTATGCAAATGTCAGGACTCTGATCCAGCAAATT